TTCTTGCAGCGCGGGTGTAACAGTCTCTGGCTGAAGGAGCTACCTAGTGCTGTCAGGGCGGGCTGGAGGGGGTGGGAGGGACTGTCCATCATAGCTTTTAGCTTAGCTAGCGTCCTCCTGTTGCCCACCTCCTCCAAAGTGTCTTGGGAGCAGCCCAGGACAGAATTGACCCTCCTGACCAGTCGCTCCAGTCTCTTTCTGTCCCGGGCCGAGATGCTGCCTGACCAGCAGACAATGCCATAATGGATGGCCGAAGCCACCACCGAGTTATAGAAAGTCTTAAGGAGACGAAGGCAAATTTCAAATTGATTTTGGAAATTGTGGACATTGTGTCTTCCAAAGAGGAAAAGAACCATCCAAACCGTTATGTAATTCAAAAGCCAGCATCTATGATGGTATGGGGCTGTTAATGCTGAAAGGTACATGCAGGTCTTGGAAAAGCATATGCTGCCAAGCAATGTCTTTTTCATGCCCCCACCCCGGTTGGGTTGAACCATCCTGGTATTGGGGAGACTCTGACTTTTTGGGATAGTTAAATTGAATAGCTCAATGAATATACATCCATCCATTTTGAACACCGCTTATCCTTAAAAGGGTCACATGGAGTTGCTGGTGCCTAACCCAGCTGATTTCAGACTCCACTCTGAACCAGTCACAGGGCACATATAGAGACAAACGACCATTCACACCCATATGTACACGTCAACGAGTGGGAAACAATCCCACTTTGCCCGCACACAAGTCCAGCGAGTGTACCACTACACTATCAGCGAATTACTGAATATACACTTCATTTTACGAACTTATATTTTTCTGAAATATCTAAAATATTTTTGCATGGATGCTACTGTATAATATATTTCTCTCACGTACCCCCTGGAGTGACTTCACGTCCCACAATTGAAGAACTAATGCTCCAGTCGATTGGAGAGTTCTGGAAAGATGCCACCCCCAGCCGCAAGGTGGCAGTATATTGTCCTGCCCCAGTCATAACACAAAAGATGGACGCCGCCGTGTTTATTCTGTCACTGATCGACTGTTGTGCACTGATTTTCCTCGCGGTCTATTTTGTATCCTTTGCTGTGTATATTTTCTTGTTTGTATGAAGAGCCTGTTTGCAGAAGGTTGTATCGAGTTGAAAACGTTTGTGACTTTTGTTTTCTTAAATAGTCAAATCGGTGAAAAACCGAACTACCATGTTAACACATTAGCTATGTTGCTATCATTTCCGAGGCAGTGTTCCTCGCAAACGCAACAGAAACATAATGGCAGTCAGCAGTCAGTTGGACAGTAATTTGTTTCCATTGGACCGGCTACGCTTAAGCCAAAGTACATTTACGCTGATTTAATTATAATTTAACGTAGTTGTCGGGTAGTAGTAATAGTAGTGTCTTACTCATCTGAACTTGTTGTTTATATTGTTTTGCCCTACCTTGACTTAAAGGTCAGATTATTACCTTGTCTGATTTAGAATGTGACTACATCAACGCCAGAGCATGCTGCTCCAAACTCAATAAAGTAAGTCTGCATTGATTCTTTTGGGACAAACTTCACGTACTAGTACCATTATGTGCAGTCAATATTTTACAAATCAACAAAGATCAATTTCTGTACAGTACCTCAAGTGACATTAATTTTTAACATCTTTCATTTCTGTCAAGTTTCATACACTGTACATAGTGGGTGTGTTGTAATTAAACAAAACAGTGACTATCTCTGAACGTGCACAGATTTGTCTCATACTTAGCATACTCAGAATTTTAGCATGTGCAGTGTCAATGATCACAACTCAGTAGAGACTGCTTGGTTGTTTTTAATGGTCATGTATTTGTTTACTTTGACTTAATATGGGTCAGCATCCTTATGTTATCCTCACTGTGTTTGGGATATTGTGTGTTCAGTGGGTAATACCAGAGATGGTTGGCCAGTGTCTGTCCACTGTGCTGATGCTGGTCTCCACACACTGGTTCATCTTCTTCCTCAACCTTCCCGTAGCAGCCTGGGACATTTATAGGTAAACCGGTTTCCTATTTTTTCATGATTGGAGCTGCTAGATATGGAAAAAAAATAATCTATCATGATATAGGCCATTTTATATCACGATAATGCTATGCCATGGTATATCTGCAGCAATTCTATTAAAAAAACAAAACAAAAAAACATATTAAGACTGTGCGATTGGCTGGCAACCAATTCGGGGTGTCCCCCACCTACTGCCCGAAGACAGCTGGGATAGGCTCCAGCACCCACGGCGACCCTAGTGAGGATAAAGCGGTTCGGAAGATGAATGAATGAATGAATATTAAGACTGCTTACCTTTTCTCACTTTGTTTTGAAGTGACATTAAGCAGATCTGTATCAAATGAGAAATGCATCGAGTAGTGCTGCTTTACAAAATTATCAAATGCAAACAGAAGCACAGTCGGCAAAATATTTTTGCACAAATGCAGATTTATTTTTAACTGATTGTGCGGACTGCAAAAGTCAGTGTCAAAACTCAGGACTGTATCGTGAAAACAAATCACACTATTCTATTCTTGTTTTCTATTTTTGTTTGCTGGCTACCCATGAGATGTATGTAATATGAAACAATTACCTTGTTTCAGCAAAGCAATACTCTCCTAAATAAAAACCCAAATTATTAAAAAAGTCTTACACGCTGACCATAGACTCACGTGTTTCGATAATCTATGTTTATATCATCTTTCTTGATATAACTTGATATAACACAGTTGCCACATGGTGAAATTAAAAAAATGTTTTCGGTGCAGATACGTGAAGGTCCCGATGGGGAACATGGGCGTGTTTGACCCCACTGAGATCCACAACCGGGGGCAGCTCAAGTCACACATGAAGGAGGCCATGATCAAACTGGGATACCACCTGCTTTGTTTCTTCATTTATTTGTACAGGTAGAGGACCACACAACACAATGACATGTTGAAAATGGTACGAGTCCCCATGTTGCCTTACATTGTTAACTCATGTGGTTGGCCTCTGTTTTTAATAGCATGATTCTGGCTCTGATCAACGACTGAGGCCACATGCTCGCAGCGGGACCTCCGCCATCTTTCTTCACACTCCTGGATTTAACCTTTCCCTCCTCCCATCCTGTGCTGGATGCCTAAAATCGTTCCAAACTGCTCTGACAAGTTGAATCGTGTGCCAAAGGCATACTCCTTCAAAAACATGCTTAGCATCTGATACAAAGGTATCAGAGCCCCCCCC